CCCATCCCATCCCATCCCATCCCACCTCTGCCCCGGACAGGGACACCTCCCACTATCCCAGGTTGCTCCAACCTGTCCCTGGACGCTCCCAGGGATGGAGCAGCCACAGCTTCCCTGGGCAATCCCCCATTTCCAGGAAGGACCTTCACCCACAGGACCTGACCCCAACTCCCACGCCCTGTGTGAGCCCCTGCTGAGGGTGGAGGGCTCCGAACGTCTCATTTGGGGCAGCCCCTCCCTTTTCCCAAGGTCCCTCCCAGCCCCTCCTCCCGAAGCAGGACGGTGGGACGGAGCCCCGGGACACTCACAGTAGCTGATGGGGTTCAGTCCCTCCCCGCTGAGCCTGTTGGGGGGCAGATGAAGAGGAGATCAGAGCCAAATTTAGGACACGGGCAGAGGAACCAACCTCTGACCAGGGAAAACCACAAGCTGCCGAATTCCCGACGGGATTCTGCCCCCACCTGCTCTCCTCCCCCTCCAGCAGCTTCCTGTAGGTCGCGATCTCGATGTCCAGGGCCAGCTTGACGTTCATGAGCTCCTGGTACTCGCGGAGCTGCCGGGCCATGTCGGCCTTGGCCTTCTGCAGGGCGTCCTCCAGGTCCATCATCTTGGCCTTGGCGTCCTTGAGGGCCAGCTCGCCGCGCTCCTCGGAGTCCCCGATGGCCGTCTGGAGGGTGGCACACTGCAAGGCAGGGCTGGGCTCCCAACGCTGCTCTGCCCCCGGGGGGACGGTCCCCCAGGGGAGAAAACCCTCCTGGTTTCCTGGGGCGTTCATGGAATGAGCTGCTCCTGAGCTCCTTCCCCCCCGGCTGGAGCTGGAACGCCAGCCCGGCAACAACGGCTCAAAAGTGGAATTTGAGAGCCCGGAGCCCTTTCCAGGAGGGAATTCAACGCTCCAGTGAGGCTGTTAAAGCCCCTGAGCAGCAAAGCAGAGCTGAGGCAGCACCAAACGGGGCTCCACGGGCTCCTCCAGCCCGTCCCTACCTGGTTCCGGGTGTTCTCGATCTCGGAGCGGATCCTCTGGATGAGCCGGTTGAGCTCCGAGATCTCCCCCTTGGTGTTGCGCAGGTCGTCGCCGTGTCTGCCCGCCGTGGCCTGCAGCTCCTCGAACTGAGGGGCAGGAGGGAAAGTGAACCCTCTGGGGTGTCCCAGGGGACTTAAACCCCTCACACTGAGGGGCAGAAGGCAGAATGAACCCTCTGGGGTGTCCAATGCACTGCAACCCCTCCAACTGAGGGGCAGAAGGAAAAGTGAACCTCTGGGGTGTCCCAGGGGACTTAAACCCCTCACACTGAGGGGCAGAAGGAAAAGTGAACCCTCTGGGGCATCCCAAGGGACTGAAGCTCCTCAAACTGAGGGGCAGAAGGGAGAATGGACCCTCTGGGGTGTCCAATTCACTGCAACCCCTCAAACTGAGGGGCAGAAGGGAGAATGGACCCTCTGGGGTGTCCAATTCACTGCAAC